TTTGGGTTCGCATAGGTATAAAACCTTAGAGGGGAATCTTGGCTATGTACCGGTTATGGATCCGGGATTCGGGTAGTGACAAGAGATGTCATTTAACTATTTATTTAGTTGTGCTTTCAACCTCGATATACTTTAAACTTATATGGAAGCATTAACTAACTTACTAAATAGATGGAAAGTATATATAAAATAAATAAATACCTGAACATATTGCCGATTTAATTGTCCTAACCAATCAATTTTCACACACACAGACCTTCAAAACCTGCTTTTTTGATTGTAATTTGTACCTTTCTTTATGTTTAGTCAGTGCTCCAAAACTCTTGTATTAAGACAATTAAGTTATATTATGAAATTAGTTTGTTGATACTGCTGTGTTGAACTCTATTGTGTTGAACTCTGACTGATTTATTAAAGGATAAATTTGTATGTAAATTTAAGTTTATATAAGTATAAAATCTTAAAAAAAAATCTTTTCTATGTGCTGATAATGAATCCTGACACAAGAATCCTTTAAAAGCAGGAGGTGGATCAAATTTACAACGAAAAAGCTCCAAACGGATTAACTTTTACAATTGAAAAGACATGATGGTACCCTAAACCACTCACCTTCTCCTTATTCAAGTACCATCTCTTTAATATCACTCCTTGAAAGGAAAAGTATCCACTTATCAATATCCGGGAAGCATTGCAAATACGAAGTAGAAAGCTGGAACTTGTGAACAGGTCCTTGGTGAAGAAAGAGTGCACGACTGATGAATTTTACCATGCGGTTCTCAACCACAGGTCTATCACTGTATATCCTAACACAATTGTCTTCGAGAACAAGGTATGAGTAGTCCATCGGTACCTCCATTTGCTTGACAAGGCGATTGTTCTTACAGCATCTCGTACTGGTAATCGAGTGAGAATTCTTTCTATAATGCTCTGCGGCCGATCACTTATCGAATTCATCTCCCTTTGGCAACCTCTCAGCTTAAAGAAACAAACCAAAACAACGGAAACCCAACTCTTATAGTCAATCAAATGTAACAACCAAGCAATAAAAAATAAACAAATAAAAGAAAGTTATGATATTTCCCTCAAAATTAGACGAAATCTATAAAGAAATGATAACGATTCAAGATTGAGACTTTCATCACTTGGTACTTAACAGAAAGAAACCCAGTTTCCTGAGCCTACAAGCGGACTGTTAAGACTTAGAATCCAAGATTTGACAACTGGCTCAAATAATCACTACCGTCAGCAATACATCTCAATTACAAAATTGAGCTAAACAAATTCGTGATATAAGAGATACAAAATGATACATGCACAAAATTCCCGGTCAGTGACAAGAAAAAAGGAGCACAAACAAGAGCAGAAAGTGCCTAGATAGATCGGAAATACAGGGACTGAAGTAGGAAATGGTCGGGACTTTGAGAGCAACTCGTTTCGATTTTTCTTTGTTGTCGTCCGTCCGTCTTTTCTGTTGTCGCTCCTGACATATCATTTTTGAACCTCTCGTTTTTTATTTTAGCGGCACACAGCACGTGTAACGTGACTTGCGTTTTTGGGCCTAAGGTTTCACAACGACACGCCATTTTCTCTTCGAGAGGAAGCTAATTTGGTTGACATGTCGTTTGGTTTGCAAGTCTACCTTTCCTGGTCTTAACGGTCCATTTTTTATGAAAGCTCACAGCAAGTTTCTGTCTTAGAGATGAAGAGAGAAAACTTTAGTATTGGTGTAAATGGACTGGAACTATGGATTTAATCATCAAGAGTTTATTTTTGTAGAAGAACAAGAAATTTTCAAAGTAACTTCCACCCATTTTGAAAATCGAAATGCTTGGTGAAACACTTGCCCCGATGCTATGGATCATCATCATGGCTGGTTTGCGGCAACGGCCCTTGCGGAGTTTTAATCATGCGATCAGTGGAAAAATAATTTTTATCCAGAGAGAGCTTCTTGTGGGTTGATGTCCCCAGAATAGATCCAGACCTCGTGTTTCTCTCTCCCAGAGAACTGTTGTTGATAAATCCATGAATTCATGCAGCGACTTTTCTTTATAAATGAATATTTTCAATAGGTTTGGCAAAGGTAAAGCCTCCAAAATATTTATTGAAGAATTTTGGGGAGATGGGAAGCTACAGTATTTTCAAATTTATTATTATTATTTTTATTTTCAAATTGTTTTTATGTATTAATATTAAAAATACTTTTTTAAATAAAAAATATTATTATAATATATTTCTAAACAAAAAAATACTTTAAAAAATAAATATTATCAATCCTGAGGCCAGTATTGCCGAGGCGAGTACTCCTAGCAAAACCAGACAAAGGTCAAATACCTTATTGCTATTGATTTACTATTTCAGAATATGATGAAAGAGTTGCCAACGTGACATCAAATACAAAATTCTGATAACCCCTCTTCTACAGACTGCTAGAGAAACTAAAGGCTTCTAACTCCAAACATAATAAACTAGATGATTGATATTGATATCTGGTTTCCCGACCAAGAGGAGGCCTGTGTGGAAAACTTCTATGAATAATATCAAAAGAAAAGAAAGATATCTGGAGCAGGAAACAAAAATGTGAATCTACTCGAGTCAATTCCGGGCTCGACTAAACCAACACAGTCCGACACAACCAATCGCCAATGCCGCAATAAGGGGAGCTTGGCCATCATGGACAGCCAGGCTATTCCTGTTTTTTCTTACTCCCTGAAACCTCTCTCCCAAGCTATCACGAAGAAGACTGCTCAACGTATCCAACTGAAGCGTGAGTAGAAGCTGTGCCCGGGCAATTCCTGATATTTGTCAATATAGAGCAATCAATGAGAAGAATTGGAAGCGACTTCCACCAACTGGATAGTATTGACATGTTTTAAACACATAGCTAACAGTACAACTCAATACCCAGATTCATTCTATGCAAACATCCTATCTTACTATACTAGTGACATCCCTGTAAGTCGATTAAATTATTTTTTCCTACTTTTGTGAAGAGCTTCTGAAAAACTTTCAACACCCTATCAGTATAAGCGTATTTTAGAATCAAAACAGTCAACCTCTTAATTCAAATCATTGACTAAAGGAACCCTGTCAGGTGTGTGGTATTGATTTATAAGCACAAGTAGAGAAAAGACTTATGAGATGGTTTGAAGGGACCAGCCATTGTACCTCCTCCATTAAAGGTGACTCTTTAGCCAACAGAGATGAAGATGAGGAATTGGACATTTTGGATCCAGTCAAGGAACCATTGCCTAAACCAGATACGAAGTAAGAAGTTGGAGCGGAACCGTTGTGCGCTTCAGCCTGGAGAACCATATTTTTTTGGCTAGGAGAGTTCTTATTGATGATTAACTTGGAATTTAACTCTTCAATACAGGTTGTGAACTCATCCATTCTATCATTTAGTGAAGAAATCTGTTCTAAAAGTTGAGTCGTGGCTCCCTACACAAGAATGTATGTGGCAAGAGAGAAAATGAATAAAATAATACAAGAAGACTTCATTTATACCGCTTCATAATATAACTACAAAAACAAGATAACATCTATAAAGACTTGAATTCAACAACTATATGTTGGCAAATGAAGCATAACAACTGAGAAGCTCAAAGGAGCACCTGATTGGCTAGCGCAGCTGGTGACTCTAGATTTCTATCATCAAACCTATTAGAGGTTGCAGCAGGCCCAGTAAGCTTAGACAAGTTCTTGTCCCTTTGAGAGGAATATGAGTGTGACATACCGCTGTTTGATGTAAAATATGATCAGTGTATAATAGAAGCTGCCATTTCAACTAATACTACAACACATTAAGAACAATAAAGGGATATTAGCAACGTGACAAAATAGTGTCGGATGCAGAGAATCATAATAGGGTTGAATTGGTAAAAAACCTTTTGCCATTCTTAAATCTCCCGGCAACCCTATCAGTAGAGGCTGGCAAAAGGGCTCTTTGGGGCTTGAAACTAGATCCTCATCTAAGCTGAGCTTTGTCTTCAAGTCATCTGGCAACGCCTGCAGAATGATCAGATCAGGATTGCTTTTGCAGGAGAAGTAATCACAAGTATTGGATATTCCCATACCATGACCTCATCTACAAGCCTTTCTAGTTGAATTTGTTCTATATAGGTACGTGGAGTGTATGAGCCTTCCAAACCTAGCTGCTCTGCAATGTATTTTACAACCAAGCGATCTCTTCCTTGCACCTACAATCAACACAGTGAGTTTTTTATAGCTCGCATAACCGATTAACAATGAGAATATAAAGAGGACAAAAGGTTAGCAACATCTGTTTCAATCACTACATTAACACACTAAACCCTTGCACTTACATAAATCCAGTATTTCTAATTCCTCGTCAATACATAGAGGTTGATGACAGTAACTGTCGTTGACATTGGATAACACAGGCCTTGTCCAAGAACAAAATATAAAGCTCAATAAACAGTACATGTTTGGAGTAGAATGAAACCATTTGAAACTAGTAAAAAAAACTCGACAAGAAAAGAAAAATACTGAGGCAATAATACCTAAAACTTGACAAGAAAAGAAAAATGCCGAGCCAATATTTTCCGAAGATCAAAGTATTTAGCACAATAAGTACGCATCAACTACATTTGAGATTTAAATAATTTATTATTTAAATCTTGTAGATTTTAGTGCAATTTTACATTAACTTTGTGTTTCTAAAACTGACAATATAACCATTGATTTTCATGAGAGACCAAAACTCTAAACCTCGCACTCCTTCCTTGCTGAAAGATGCTCAATAATGGCTACCATATTAGTTCTAAAAGAATGCAATAAAGTTTAACTGCTTAAAAACACGTGGTTGAAAACCAATTATCATAAGAAGTCTCTCTATATAAACTATGAAAGTTTTTCAGTAGCATTGTGAGAAAATTCTGGAAGTACAATAAACTTTTATTGCAGCAAAGAAAGATGTCATTTAACTATTTATTTACTTGTGCTTTCAATCTCGATATACTTTAAACTTACATGGAAGCATTAGCTAACCTACTAAACAGATGGAAAGTATATATAAATTAAATAAAGACCTAAACATATTGCCTATTTAATTGTCCTAGCCAATCAATTTTCACACACACCCTATCATCAGAGAATGAATGGCTACTTCTTTGAAGGATAGCAGCTACTGTGTATCCCAAGGCCATCAACCTTTTCTAAAGTCAGGGAGTATACATTTCCAAGGAGAATCAGCTCAAAGCTCAATCACTCAGTAAGCCTTCATGTTTTAACATGCCCAGTCCAATTCTCTAAGAGTTTAGATAGCCTGGGCTTGGGTTCAAAACGTCATTCTCTCTGGATTTGGCAGCCTGAGCATTACCTTGAAGAATGGACCTGCCTGATAATTTCTTTCCTTCTTTGCAGTACAACACTCTCATGCAGAGATGGTAGCAACCAAAGAATGTGGGCAGCAAAATATGACAGGAATTTTTACTATGTGAACATTTGATAAAACCAGATTTTAATAGTTTTTGGCAACTGGGCTCCTACGTGTGGTGCATTTCAATCCAAATGCTGCTTTGCACCATAGCCAAATTTTTTTCGTTGGAGTTTCTTGATCCTCTATTCAAGTTTGGACATGATTATATTCTGTTTTTTTTTTTAAACGGCATCCTTAAATTCAAAGATTTTATGCTATATTTTAAGAATACATTCTCATAAAGTCACAATCCGAAGTTCAGATAAAATTTGTATGTGCTATTACAGATATATAATAACTAGTTTTATGAATTAAATTGCTGGCTATGAGCTTGTGCAGAATCCACTTCAATAGGGAAACAATGGCTGGGCATGAGAAAAAGAGAAATAATATAGCTTACATAAAATAAATCGAAGAGAAATTGAGCCTTAATATTAACCAATGGCTAATATTATTACATAAAAATCTGTGTTTTCCACCACTTGTCATGACACATATACAACATAAAACCAAATCACTATCCGCAAGCCCACAATTTGCCAGCTCATGTGTTCACAAATCTGCAGTTCGTCCTAATTTCTCCATTGACAAAGCTATCAGGATTTGTAATGTTTTCCATTTTCACCATGGAATCTGAGAATTGGTGAAAGAAAGCAATTGGATCATGGGCATACTTTATCACGAGATTCTTTGTTTCAAGTCCGAGTATGCTCGAGTACAGTTCTTGGTCTGAGTTTAGCAGGCCATCTCCTTTCAATAGTAAATGATAGAAAGAGTTGTCGAAAAGATTAGGCGTGACATAGTCCATTGCTGATATGTTATTGTCCCCTCCTCCTGTAGCTGGGCACATAGATGTCAAGTTGTTAAGATATGTCTCAGACACTGGACTTCTATCCGAAGTTGTTTCAAAGTCCCCGTAAATCCTCGCCCGAAAATTTGCACAGTGTGCCATGCCAATAGTGTGTGCCCCTGCAGATTTCACAGACAGGAATGAATTTTAAATATTAGAAATGCAATGTTCTTGTGACTTTTCAAGTAGTAGTTCTATGCAGGGTCAATGTCCCTCCCACCATAGGAGCATCCTACCTGAAAGAGCTACCAAATCAGTAACAGAAAGGCCTTGGTAAAGAAACTTGGTAATGATAGATAGGAGACCCTCATCTGCTGTCGGAATATTTGATGCTGCGAGCTCGAAACTTGCAGTTTTAGAATCTTTTCTTCCAACAGGAACATCCCAATATGGTCCACCAACCTGTCAATATTATAACTGGTTGAAAAGGAGAGGAAGAGACCGAATTTTCTCAAACTAGCAAAAGTATGAATCTATTCTCCTACTACTATTAGCTAGTAATGCTGAACAGTATTAGTACCAGAAGGACTGCATCTCTTGCTGCAATGGTGAGAATATCTGCACAAGACACTATTCCGGGGCACTCGGACTCGATCTTGTTCTTAATTCTATCAATGATTTTAAATCCTTCTAGAGAGTTTATGTTTGTTGAAGCTTTCTTTTCCCCTTCCAGGGTGATTGTGTCATCTAGCAAAACTGAACCATCACATCCCTGCACCAATAGTTGGAACATACTATCAGTTGGCTAGATAGGATTTACAATTTGGAGTACTATTGTATATACAGGGAAGGATTAGAGTTGCAGAAAATGATAATGCCAAAAGTTGAGAGTTGTGAACCTGAACAAAGCAGTCATGGAAATGTAATCTCAATATCAAAGCTGCATTACGTGGATCAGAAAGAACTTCACATTCCATCTCTTTCTTGACAATCTCAAACACACTGGGGCAGGTGGGAGCATAGTAGTCTAAAGTTAAAGGAGGGTCGCTTGCATGCAAGCTTCTGCCGAGGATGGAGATGATAATCAACATAGAAAATGGTAATATGGGAAGCTTTATTTCTCGAAGAGGAAACGCCATTGTTGCTCCTTTTGCTTTTCTTGAATGAAAGTAGGAAAGAGCGGGGGAGATGGATTGGAGTGAGTGATATATTTAAGTGAAAAGAAAGTAGATTTTTGCACTTTTGCATAGCAGTTCTTAGTATTTTGCATAAAGAGCTCTATAGTCAAGAGAGGATGCAACGAATGTTGGCCTGGTTGGTGGGTACTCCCATACCACGATCACCAAATAGATACTAGAGACACACCGAAAGAAGGGACTTGGAAAAGTCTGTCTTTGCCCTTCAAATTACATGAATGATGAGTCAACACACCTAAAACTGAACGGCTTATTACCCCTCATTTACCCATTCAACTTTCAAAACAATCTTCATATTCATCCCTGTTTCCTTCTCTTCCTGAACAAGTCGAGGCAATTGTGCATGACTAAATCCTCAAGAAAATGTGCCATCCATCTATTATTTAAAAACTTGTCGTAATCTACTTGAACATTTTAGACTTTTAATTGGTGTGGACTTCTTTGGTTGGATGGTCTGATTTTAACATGTGGGGTTATTCTAAGATGATTGATGTTATTCTGGTAATTTGATTTTCATGACTTTGAAACTAGCACATGTAGGTGTTAGTTTCCACTCCATCTAGGTCAGCACACAAACATCCATTTCAATCATTCTTTCATAACAAGAATACCTACCTATTATACCTTTCTTCATGTTATCTTGCTTTTGTAAGAGAGCCAACCAGGAAAATCAATTCCATCGTTGTCGCGGAGTTATTGACCTTGTGATAGATTAGAATGATGAAACATCTTGGGCCGTGAACTGTGAATTCAAGTTTTCAACAATGGCTAAAGCCAGCGAGCGCGACCTGGGAGTGTTTTGATTTTATGGTTCAGTTTTCCTGCGTTGGCACTGATCACAATATGCGAACTATGCAAGCACTGATAAAAAAAATGTTGAATCGGGTGCGGAAAAGATTTATTTTGAATAGCTGTACTTTTGGATAGGACAACATGGGAACAGCAAGAGCACCTGGCAACGATGCCCGGGGCCTAAGTTACGATGAGACGCCCTGGATGATCAGTCTGTCCATGTATGAATTATGCAGTTGTGGTTTAATAAATTCCCAAGATGCACTGGCTATACCACAGCAAAATGTCCAGCAGAAAACCAACATGTAGTTTCAGAGCAAGATGAAAAATACAATTTCTTCCGTCATTGTTGAAATTGGAATGATAAAAAACCAATGTAAGAGAAGAGAGCATATAAGGAGGAAATCATACAATCTTACTGCTCGTGCTTTGCAAAATTCTTGTAAGTGTAAAGTATTGCTAGGAACTAAAGAAGCACTATAAACCTAGAGCGCATCATGTATATATATCAGAATCAAAAGGATAATTCTTAATTGAACTGAACCTTGAAGATTCATCCATGGAATCTCCAATTGAGCTCAAGTCAAAGCCATGCAACACGTTCTTCTGTAGCAGAGATTTGACCATAGCCACCACAGAAACACCATGTCGAGGCCATGAAACACAAAGAGTTCCTCTTATTTTTCTCATCTGACATCTTGCCAACAGAGCAGCTGCCAAGCCATCCAGTACACTCCCTGAAGGAAAATAGTCTAAACCTTTCAGTAAGAATGAACCTCCACAACCATCATGACTCAGTCCTTTCCTCTCTGCTGATGTCTCCAGCTTGAAAATATTTATCTCGTCTGGTGCCAGCCTACCCCGGAAATTCTGGTTCTGAACTGAATCCATTATTAGAACCCTCTCAGGAATTATGTGATCACCAATAAGCAACTTAGCAACTGCAATGGATCTCTCAGCATTGACAGAGCACTGTACTGAGACAACGAGTGTTAAATTGTCAGCATCATTGAGAGCATAAATATTGCAAGACGTATCACCAAGAGAGGGCCCGATCAAGTTTGCTGAGAAAGGGATCTCAGGTAGTACGAGACTGCCGATTAGGGTCTTTGAGGATATATGGTGGAAAACATAAAGAGAAGGGGAAGATAATGCAATGATGAGGAGAGAAGGATGTAGAGGCTTATCAGGTTTAGGGTTAGTTAACAGTAGGGAAGGAGATGAAAGTGGTGGTGATGAAGTTGCGAAGTTGTCCAAATCTTCCTGAAAGAACCTTGAAGAGGGCGGAAGCTCTGTAAGTACATCTCCCATCTCTTCCTTTGCAGCAAATCAAACAACCTGTTAATGGAAATATATAGACGATCAGTGTTGTTTAATTACAGATGTAAGTGGATCGCTTACGCTACTTAGTTCACAAGTCTATCAGATTTAACAGCAAATCAAATACAAGTAGCAAATATTACTCTTTCTCATAGTAGGTTAATGTAAGTGATAATTTTGGGCCTCATGCTTGCCAAAAAAAGAAAAAACTATGCTAAGTTGCTACATTATCACATTTGAAAATAAGTGTACAAATTGAAACAAGCACAATTGCACTGACTTAAAAGTATTTTATAGCAGCCACAATGCGATTGATGAAGATAATTCTCTCGCATAGGACCTGTAATCCTTTCATATAAGCATAGATATAAGGTTAATCATTAACAATACTCCAATAATAACCTCCCCGATACGGAGAGGATATTAAGTAGATCTCATCCTCACAGCTAAAGATTCAATCTTTCTTACCGAAGAGTAAATATAGAACATAACAATGACTGTACTGACAAAAAAAAAACTAATTACCTTAACAACATGTTATTAGTAAATAAATCACACAAACAACGGAGAATGTTTCACTAAAAGGTCCTTAAATCGCCCTCTTCCTAAGGGTGGGCCGACGTTAACATTTCCGAATGAAAATAACCGTCCGACTTAGTACTAGTAAATTTTTCAGATATGCAATTTTTTGGATTTAATAACGCCAAAATAAGGAACCTCAACCTCCTGTGGCCAATAAATCCTAACATTCTCAGAGAAAGAAGTAATACCCGAAGTACTGCAAATATAAAAACACGAATTCCATAAAAACACATGCCCTTTAATATAAATACGCCATAATAATAAGAGAAAGTAATTACTTTTCAATTACTATTTAGTAACGCAAAAATTGACGAGCTTGAAATTGCTATTCGTCCAAACCTAGATTAAAAAAATAGGATCTAAACCTAATTGCGGAAACCCATTATGAGTCTCATAGGTAAAAGAAGCTCTAAAGCAAAATAATTGAAATTCTTGCATGAATATAATACAAATTATACAATCACTAGCCCCATAATCGAAAAAAAATAAGTTACTGACTACGAAGAAGAAGGAGAAGAAGATCGGGAAGAAAGACAAGGGCAATAAAGCGCACCTAAGAACGATGTCGTCAAGGAGGCAGAGAAAGCTGATCAGACCGTTAAACCACTTGCTTTCACTGTCTGTCTTGTGGTTCACACAGTGTAGCACGACTCTCCAGTTATTATTTGGTAGTTTCTTCTTGCCCAAGCTTGAATTAGAACTTACATAAGCTTTTTTTGGAAACCTCAAACTAGTCCCTAATCTATTTATCTCACTGACAATTGAGTCCTAAATCTTTTGATTTTATCAATTCTAGCCCCGAACATAATTATTGTTAAGAGAATTTTCTCTCTGCATCCATCCACTATCAATGACAGTGATAATTTGTTTCCGACCTCCCCGATTCTTCAAGATGCCCAATAAACTTAACCACATGCTGAAAGTTTCTACAGATCTAATTGTGGTTAAGATTCACCAATGAACAGAGATGGAAAGAAATTCAATTTAATCAAATTGTAATGTGAAGTCACACTTAATCAAACCAAGCCAGATTTGAAACAAAAGTATCGTACCTTGTTTTCATCATGCAAAATAGAAAGCAGCATCAAGTTTTCTCAAATTTAAGTTATATTTGGAAAGCAGCGGAGTTCTCATCTGTTAAGAGACGATCATAATAATCAAAAGCGCCGAAGATGAATGATCGTAGATAGTTCCTTGCACGGTCAATCCCATGCACGTCATTAATAGCCTTTTTACCATTCTTATAACCACGACACTGCAACTGATGATATCATACCTTGTCTTCCAGCACTTGGGTAAGAATGACGGGGCTGGAAAATCTATCAACATAATTTACAGGGGACGTCTCAAGCTCATCCTTTCAGCACCTGCGCTCCAAGAATAATTGCCAAATGAAATAAATGGCATACGAGGAAAATAGTGTATAAACGAGGTATATTTGTGCAACTTACCAACTAGATTATCAATGTAGCGAGACTTAAATTTGTAAGTTCCTGCTTTCCAACTGCTCATGTCAGCCACCTGTTCATTAGTGAAACACCATGTGATATCAGCATCCTTTGGAACCCCTTTAAGAAATTAAAATGTAATTCATGGAGAAAATGCAGCAAAAGGCCCTGCCTGAAGGGTGCATTTTACTTTCTCGAAGATATGATCGGCATTTCTCCTCCTCTTCTAATACTTCCTTATTTAATATGTTCAACACCTTTCATCTCAATAGGACATAACGTGTCAACATACATAAGCAGCAAAGACAATGCAGGCACCTGTCATAAGAAAACAAATAAGCAACCATCTAGGTGGTGGCGAAGTGGTAAAGACTTGGGACTAAGAGGTTTGCTCTCTCTATGGTCTCAAGTTCGAATCCTTGGTTGCTCATATGATGGCCACTGGAGGCTTACATGGTCGTTAACTTCAGGGTCCGTGGGATTAGTTGTGGTGCGTGCAAGCTGGCCCGGACACCCACATTAATCTAAAAAAAAAAAAAAAAAACAAATAAGCTGTAACACAGATAAGCAGAGGGCATGCTATATATATAATACGTTGCCCGTGCTCTGCCACGGGCATTATTTTTCTTTGTGCAGGGATTTAAATCAGAGTGGTGTTTTCGTGGGGGGGAATGAAAGCAAGCGTAAAATGAAACTTCATTGTATATCATTTGACAAACAAAAACCAACATTGTCATTTGTGATGCAAGAAAGAAATACTACAACTCCGCTAAGATCTGAGAAGTTGGCACACATAAGATTGATAGAAGAAAACAACTTTTGCAACAGTCCATCCAAAAACTTCGTAACCTCCATGGCGTGCAGAAAAACTGCAGAGACTGCTTTTCAAAATTGCAACATGAAACTGCAGAAGAGGAAGTTAAGATCACGGCAAAAGTGTTTGTTAAGAAACGGTGTATGGTTGCACGGCGCTGCCAAAAAGCTGGAAAGACTGAACATTAAATCACATCAGCATTTGTCTAGTGGCAACAACAATTTGAACACAAAAGAGCTAACTTTAAGACAGTAAAATATAGCAAGAGAATAGCAAATGGAAGGGCAGATATGCATCCAATGTCAATGCAGAAAAAAACATAAGCAACACCCCCTAAGAAACCATAAGGAAGGGCAAAAGGCATATTGGGAAACAAGGCAGGGTACAATGGTTGAAACTCGGGTGCTAAATTTCCTTTCCACATCAAACTTCAAAGCAGGAAAAAGTTGTTCCATCTTGTCCATCACATGAATGACAAACTAAATGAATAGGAAGGATGTAAGTATAGCAAACATCGAAAAAAAACAGCCATGTATTATGTATAAAAAGGATGGGGAGGTCGCCATTTACAAAAAAAAAAAAAAAGAAGAAGAATCGAAGCAACTAGAAGATAGCAAGATCAATCTACAATCTATAAGGGTGGCGATGCTATCAAATAACACTAAAAAATCCGTTAGAGGTTCCAATTGATCCAATAACAAGATTTAAAGCTAAGAGATTCAAAAGGCTTTCAATAGAGTTTTTCTAAACACAGGAGCTGAGCTGAAATGGACTTCAAGAAAATATTAAATAACGAAGAACAAGCTTGATTTTGCATTAAATACTTGAATATTCAGACGTGATTGACTTTGAAGCAGAAATCACCTTGGCTGTGAAAGTTCTAGTCTTATACTCTAAACTACTATAACGCAGCCTAAAGTCTCAAACATATGGCAGAGATCCACGATGGCATTCAACAAGCCATGTGCTTTCTCCCGAGCACCGAACACCTAGAGAAAACAATAATGGTAGTAAAAACAGGCTTAAGGAAAATGGCTTTGAAAATGACAGCTCAAATACTTGGGTAAAGCATACCTGCCAAACCTTGCAGGATAAGCAATTACCATCCCTTCTTACTCGGCTAAATCCGGTTTTTTGGCTTCACTACAATGCATATGTTCCACGAGCCTTCAAGCTGCCCCTGCAGTGTATATGCAGGGGTAGGGGAGCTCTTTCATTTTAATCATCTTTGCACATGAACATTCTTTTCTCCACCTCAAGAAAAAAACCATTTGTAGAAAGCATACTCCATGACAGACATAACCCACAATCACAAGGGTGTATTCCACAATAATTTGTAAGTTTTGGCAGCAAGCACTACGGTTGATTTCAGTCATTGTGCATTCATTTAGAAAGGGAGCAAGAACCCAGAGAGGATCTTACCTGTTAGCAATACCACATGATTGGGTTAATAAAAGAAAAAAAAATCAAATAGAGATTGAGAAGAATAAATGAAAATAACAATTACAAGCATGAAGAATTGTAAAAGAAAAGAAAACTGAAACAACAATTCTTACATGCGAAAGTAGGAGTTGAGAACTGTTTTATTTTGACATCCATGTCATTTCACGAGCATTTCAAAACCAAGAGCTGCTATCGAGAATTTATACGTTCAATTCACAATTCAAAAGTGGGCCTGACGGGCCTACATTATATAACCAACGAGAGCGAGTATAGTGCACCCAAGGCCCGTAATTATATAGTCTCCCGCAGACTATGGTGGGGTCAATCAATTCTGAAAGGCCCGATTAGAAATAAGGCCCACTTCATAATAAAAGGTTGTTGATGTTCCATCCTCTCTACAGCTCAATCAATCCCATGAAATTGAATTGAATTTCATGCTTATTTAGTACTGGTACACATAAAAAGAAATCCAACCGCAATTGAGGGTATGACTCAGTGGTTAATTGCAATTGTAAGACTTGTTTTATGACTGTCTCAGTTTAATCTTCTCTATACATTAATTTATTATCCTCGTAATATCTTATCTGTTTGTGTACGAGCCTTATAGAATATTCAATAAATCTAAAAATTAATCATAATATATGTAAATTAACCTAGATATTCCGGATTATCAAAAAAAAATACAACTGATGAAGTTTACAAAATCACATGTCAGGCAAATTAAGCTTTTTTCCGCTGTAATGTGGTGTATATTAAGTTCAAGTACACCATCGTTCAAAACATGCCATATACATAAACAATTTAAAAACCAAACCCAGCAATGTCGAATAATGGAGTAAGAGTTTTCACTGTGTTTAAGTAGAGACCTGAGGGGAAAAAAATCCCCGTAAATAGAAAATAAGAAGCTCCTCCAATCTCTCGGTGAGGTGAAGAAGTGTGAACAGCTTATCCTCCCCTAATGGATGACTTTTTCAAGAGTATAAATCAATTTGAATCATATATGCTTCCAAATATCTTGAGTTAGGGATACAGATGGTCATGAAATTTTGGACATATAGTATGCTTTGCAGGCATAAAATTCTAAAATAATATTTGATCCTTAGCCAAGTAACATACGGATTTAAGTTAATTAGAAAGAGATACGTAATTGAAAAGGGGGAAAGCAAGCCAAATCTTAAAATATCATACAATATTAGTTGAAGGGTGTGTTTGTTCCAGAGATTAAAGCATCAAAATCAGTAAAAATATTAAAAAAATATTTTTTCAAGTAACACTAAAAAATAAAGCAACTCCGATCCAAACACTTCATAGATATTTGAGCAATGGTTACCTCTCAAAATTGGACAGCATGGTGAGACTTGAGAGGATAGCTACGCCGTATGGCTGCTCAGCTAGTAATAGGTCCCAAGGAATCATCCGTGCAAGAGCATTCGTTGCCAATTGCAATGGTTCAATGCATAAACAAGACGATAAGAAATAGCAGAAATTTCTGTTTCTTTTTATATGAGCCACGAAGAAGGAAGAACAGCGAAGAGGTTGCTGGAATTTTTCTTTAAAATGATTTTTCCAAAGCTACTGTGGTGAAACATAGAAAATATTAGGTCAAATAAGTAGCTATTTAATAGAGTTAGATCCTTCAACATTCAATTTAAATAAAAAAATAAAAATAAAAGAATTAATATCTTGCTCGATATATTATCAAGAAATATACTTTTATATATATATATATATATATATAAATTAATTATATAAATTTTAAAATTAATAATTATATAAATCA